GAGCATATGGAAATGTCTATCATAGGACGTCGTTCAGTTACCACAAGTGGGCTGAAAATCTGGATCTAAGAGTCCTAGGAGTCAAAGAAATCTGAAAAAGAATCAAGCAGAAGTTGCAGGTCAGGGAAAGACACCTTTTTAATACACAGATGGGAGGGAGGTGGGCGGTCACAGTCCACACAGCAGGGGACTGAGTTAAATGTTCCTCCGACATTTTTTCATTTGATCTTGACAATCACAGGGTGTGGATGCCATTTGGATGCTCATTTTACAGATAAGGAAAGTAAGAATTTGAAAGTAAGTTAGTAACTAGCCCAAGACTACGGAGTTAGTCCGCTGTAGAAATGAGATTCAGACTCAGGCTACCAGGCTCTGTGTCTGAGTGCTGAACCAGAAAGCTCACCCCACGAGACAGTGAGGGTTCCCTGGGGGGCATTTCTGCAATGGATGCAATAGGCATATTTGTAGAGCTGTGTCTCCTTACCTCTTTCAATGCAATTCCTTAATATGGGCACAAAAGCATAAACCCAGGTGAACTTCAGTGAAAGCAATTCCTTGAATCTAGCTTGTCCCTGTGCACAGACCTTTGAGGATCTAATTTTCTTTTCTGTGTAGATGAATAAATATTGCCGATTCTATCAGGAATTATATCAATAGGTATTTTCTCAAACTGCGGTCAGTCATTGTAATACAACCCAAACCCTCTCTAGTAAGATTTATTTATACCCTATGAGAAAGTCAAAGCGGTATCTTTGGTCTCTGGGCTGCCACACCTATCCCCCTCTACAGAGGAAATACTCTTACACTCCGACAGCCCTCCAGACAACACAGAACACACAGTGAAGACCTCTGTTAAGTACATCTAAAGGACAGTGTCACTTGCCTGTGGTTCTTTTCTTCTAACCTATTCTCTGTGAGATGCTTTAGGAATGGGGTGTTTCCTCTATTAAAGACATCATACTATTCAGGGAGCATTTCTCAAAACTTTAACATCCACAAGCCAGTTCAAACCCAATGCAGATCAACAATTTTAGGTAAGATTTCATCACAATTTTTAATAATACAAATGTCATATTCTTTTAAAAAAAAAACTTTTTATGATGGAAAAATTCAAACACATACCAAAAGGACAATAGTATAACGAACCTCCATGTACTTACCATTCAGCTTTAACAGTAATTGACTCATGGCCAATCTTCTTTCAGCATTATTCTCATCTGCTTCCTCTCTCCCATATTATCCTAAAGCAAATCCAAGATAACGTATCATTCCATCCATAAATATTTCAGTATGTGTCTCTAAAAATATGAACCCTTTCTTGTAACAGTACAATACCATCATCCCAACTATTTGTAAGAATTCCTAAATATCATCAACAATCAAAATATACCAAATTCTAAGTTGCCTCAAAAATATTTTGGTTTTTTTTTTTGTTTGAATCATGATCCACATAAGGCCCATACATTCCCATCAGATAGAACATTTTTTTAAATAACATTAATTGTTTCGTGCATTTGTGAGAGAATATCATTCTTAATCTCTCCCCAAGATATCTGTCCTATTTGATAATGGGTCAAGTTCCATACTACATTTTTTTCTTTCCTTATCTTTTATTTTCACTAATTTAAACACTTCCAACTCACAGTTACGGTCACTGGAAACAGCATCAAACGTCTGATATCTCTTTCCAATAACCATGGATTCAAAAATTAGAGATTTTGGCCAGGCGTGGTGGCTCACGCCTGTAATCCTAGGACTGTGGGAGGCCGAGGCGGGCGGATTGTTTGAGCTCAGGAGTTCGAGACCAGCCTGAGCAAGAGCGAGACCCCGTCTCTACTAAAAAAAATAGAAAGAAATTATCTGGACAACTAAAAATATATAGAAAAAATTAGCCGGGCATGGTGGTGCATGCCTGTAGTCCCAGCTACTCGGGAGGCTGAGGCAGTAGGATTGCTTAAGCCCAGGAATTTGAGGTTGCTGTGAGCTAGGCTAACGCCACAGCACTCACTCTAGCCAGGGCAACAGAGTGAGACTCTGTCTCAAAAAAAAAAAAAAGAAATTAGAGATTTCTCATTGAAAATACTTTTGGCCCTCTACCAGGTTCCATATCAATTACAAAACACATTGAAAATCCGGACGACACATGCTTGAACTTGGGAGATAGGGGCAAATGGGTCCCCCTCACCTACAAGACTGGCCCCTGGCTCTGGAAAGCGTATCTTCAACATTACAGGGGGTTCTAAACTCTGCCCAATACTAGATTGCCCCCTCCTCTTAAAGTCAAGATAAGTATCAGATACTGAGAAAGAGTGTAACTCCAGTCAGAGCAGATTGGACCTCAGATTGGTCTTAAGAAGATTTCTCAAAGATTTCTCAAATCCAGCAAACTATTTTTTCCTTTTAAGGGGCTGACTTTATCCTTTGGACCCTACTGGCAAATGCCAAATTGACCAGGTTATCAGAGACAAATGACCAGTAGACATGCTGTGATGGGCAAAGCCATTCCAAGTCGCAGAAAGGCCCTCTGACAGCAGAGTGGAAAGTGGATGGGAAGAGATCAGGGTGTTGGAAAGAGCAGTTAGAAGAACATCAGAAGTGTCCAGACAGGAAGCTTCTGAAGTTGCGTTGGAGCAAGGCCAAGTAGAAGAGGAAGGGGATGACGTGAGAGAGGAGGAGCAAGGGAGAGGAGAGAAGAGAGGGGGCTGACTGAGCATGGGGGTAGAGACAGAAGAAGGAGGAATCGGCGACATTTATGTTTCCAACTTCAGCATGGGATGCTGTATAAAAAGGAATCCTAAATATACACACACATGCACACAATGCCTCAAAGCAACTCCCTTGCAAATTGCCCATGGCCCTGGGATGGAAAGAGCCAACTGACCCGGAAATAAGAAAATGTACCCTATGTGAAATACTCCCTCCGTGGTTGTAGCGACACTGACTCAGTCATAGACTCATCTGGGGAGTATAAAAAACACTATGCTCAGGCCAGTTGAATCCGAATCTCTGGGTAGTTTTAAACCTCCCTCACCTTTCCAACCCCCAAGCCCCCCACTCCCCACCACCCGACCTCACACACAGGTGATTCCACTGTGCAGCCTGGGCTGAGAACCACTGGGCTACAGCAAGACAGCGAGGGCAATTTTGGCACCAGACCCATGATCTGCCTGTTCTGAAGCTGTGGAAGACAATTTTTCCAGGGACCTTGGGGAGACGGAGCTCAGGCGGTGATGCCGGTGATGGGGAATGGCGGGGAAGTGGCTGTAAATACAGATGAAGCTTTGCTCGCTCTCTTGCTCTGACTCAGTGTGGACTTCTGGGGACTGGGGTAAGAAACGGCCTGACCTTCAAAACTCACAGCTCTCCAGGGAAAAGAAGTCAGCAGGGAAAGCCCGGCAGGGGAACAGGAAAGAAGGGAGTGAGGGATCTGGCACACGAGCTTCCCTTCTGCCCGTGGAAGACGGCGGTTCTCACAATCCTGTGTGCATCATGATCACACGGGGATATGTGTCAAAGGCAGCTTCTCAGGTCCCACTTCCCTGAGTCGGTCAGAAGGTCTAGAGTACAGCCCAGGAACCTACATTTTAGCAGGTCTCCAGGTGACACTGACAGAGGGTTCATGGAACACACCCCCAGAAACCCTGAGAGGCCTGCAGGAGCAAGTCTGTGCACCCTCCCGGGTGGACATGGGCAGGGCAGAGCTCCCCTCTTTAATCAGGGACCCTGCCCCTACCCCTGCCCCTGGAGGGTCTGAATAGCTAGGTCCGAGGTGGCGCCCAGTGTCAGTGTTAGAAATGATTTCACAACACTGCCCAACTGGGGGCCAACATGGAAAAGAAGTGGGCCTGCCCCAAATTTTCTTTGTGTAATAGGCGGTGAAGTAAAGCAGGAAGGATCCTTGGCTCCATTACTCCTGGTTTCTACCGAAAGGGAAGCTGGGGGTTTTCCTCGGCTGACTGCTGGCAGGAAGGGCAGGAGTGAGGGTGGGAACCGAGCAGCAGCCTCCGGTCTTTCAGAGTCCTTCGATTTCACCGGAACACTGGACCTCAAAGCATCACTTTTTAGACATGCAAATTCTTGGGCCCCACCCCAGACCACCCATTGGATCAGACACTCGGAGGCACAACACCCAATCTGTGTCACAACTAGCCCCCAGGTGACTCCAACGCTTGCCGGGTGACCACAGGCTTCCGAAAGGTCCCCTACCTCTCCTGGCCATCCCCTCAGGCCCCTTGTCATGGGAGAAGGGGAGGCTACACAGCCCCTCTCCAGCCCTCACTACTTGTCATTGGGAAGGTGCTGAAGGACGCTGAGGCTGAGACCTGGAGGAAGAGGAGCCAGGTTCCGGGCAGCTGCCACCTGCCCAGCTGCTCTCCGGCTGACTCGCTTTGTTTTTCTTTTCTCTAAGCCTGGAGAGGTTGCAGGAGGGGCTTTCCCCAGCAGGAAAGGGGACCTGGGTGCCTACTCCCCACAGCAGAGGCAGTTCTGGCCCAGAAGCCCCAGGGCCTGGTTCCACTGTCCTCCCTAGAGGAATGTGAGAAGAGGGTTCAGAGAGGCTGAGGGCTCATCTCCACACTCTCCTTTCCTGGCCCAAGGAAATGCTTCCTCTTCTCAGAGGATGGACACACTATCTTTCCAGAGTAGGCTGCAGCCAAAGGAGCAGCATCCTGCACCAAGACAGAAGCCCTTCTTGTGCATAGAGAGTGCCCGCGTTGGGACCCACGCTCCCAAAGACGCAGGGAGGCTGGTTTGGAGGCCCAGGCACAGGTGAGGACTGGCCCCATGGGGCAGTACAAGTTACTCAGCTCTTTCTTCCCCAGACCCAATTGTGGACCTCTTCCCAGCATTCAGATCAGAGAAAAGACTAACATGCTCAAAAAAGGGAGACACCAGGATCAGGAATAATCCAGACCTGCTGTGGATTCAATGTAGAGTCTTCAATCAAATGTGTTAAATGAGAGTTCATAACTTTGAAACAAAAATTCAAGGACTTACTTGGGTTAACTTAAAAGTTCAGTTTTATCGTATTTTCTTGTCAAACAACTTTATTCGAAGCAACAACTGAAGTATAATTTAATTCAACAGGAAATATCACACTTGGAGAGAAAATATAGGGGAGAAAAAAAAAAAAAAACTTAAAGTAAAGCCAAACATTCTTTCCAAGGCACAGCACTGGCATTTTCAGATTGACAGCAGAATGAGTTTGTTTCCATGAAACAAAATCACGAGTCCGAAGTCTGCCTTTGAAATAGTTTTCCACTTCATCTCCATTTCTCAGGCTCAGGGAACAATGCTTGTGGCCTTCCTCAGGGCCAGGTAGCCGGTGACGACGTCGGACGGCAGCCTCCGAATGTAGGAAAACTCTTCGATGGTGCTGAACCGCAGTTTGCTCTGAGGGTCCGTGTAATTGGCCTGGTGAGAAACAGGCACAGGGAAGGGCAGAGAGTTGGTGGTGGTGGTGATATTTTAAGTTCAAGTGCAAATTTGAACATTTTGTTTCTATTTTACTGAAAGTGAAATATATCTTCATTATGTCTTACTCTATCACCAAGAACACTAAATCACTCATGGTGGCACAGACTCATTCACCTCCTCAGACTTGAGAAACACATCAGGGTATGGACAGGAGGAACAGGATTAGCCACCAGACTCTAGGACCCTTCTTCTTGGCACCTCAAGGGCTGCAAGCAACAGGCCCAAGACTGAATTCATAATGGTCACCCCTCCTGCCTCCTTCCAATAAGCGTTCCGGGTCTGTGTTCCTCGAGGCAGGAGCTGACCCTGAGCACACTGGGCACGCACCCCTCTCCTCTGCGCTCTCCCACCTGTGCTCCTCTCCAGCTCTTCTGCTGCCCCCTCCATGCCACTTCCATGCCTCCCTGGGCCACCCACCCCCACCCTTCCGCTGGGAAGGACTGCCCTCCTGCAACCTCAGCAAGGGTCGCCTTGGCACTTGCAATTCTAATCATGCATTCCTCAGCATAAAACCTCTCAAAATGGCTCCTCTGCTCTTGGTACAAAGGCCCAAGTCCTCAGCACGGCTCCTCAGCTCTGGGCCCTCCTCCCTCCTGAGCCTCCTCCTTGGTCACACACCCCCACTCTCTGGTTCCAACGGCCCTGCCCTCTAAGTCTCTCCCTCTTGTCATGCCTCATCTGCCCCTTCCTAGGCAGGGGCCCCAACCCTGGCCCGCTTTGCTCAGTAATCGCCTGCTCACTCTTCAGGACTCAGCCCCAGAGCCACTGTCCCCAGGGAAGCGTATCTGTGCCCTCGTCCACTTTCACTGCACCACAGATCTCTGCTTAGCTCTGCTGCTTAGCAGGTCGTTATCTACGTAACTCTAGGCTGTGAGGCTCCCTGAGGCAGGAACCCTGTGGTTTGCTTATCATCGTCGCCTGGCTCCCAGGGCAACACGGAGTGCATAGCATCCTTCAGTCAGGGTTTGTACAAAGAATGATGAACGAATGAATAAATGAATGAACAAACAAACAGACGATTGGGACCATCCCAGAAAAGAGAACTTGTTTCTCAGACATATCAAAATTCTCTTTTGGTCTCTGTTTTTCCCATGTGCAGAGGGGAGAAAAATAATTCACTTACTATATTCCTCAAAGCACATGGCTTCTACAGAGTTTGAAACAGAAAGCATGAGGGTGAGTCATTTTGAGCGTCTTTAAAAAAGTTATAAAAGATGCCATTAAAGTCTAGACAGATAACGCTTATTCAAGTGCGGACTGTCTACCGCAATGCCCATCATCTGTGTGTGGAGCTAGACGCGCGGTAATTCTGTGGTTTAATAAGGGAGGCCAGTCGCAATAAAGAAGCAACAAGCTGAAGGGAACTTAGTCATAGTTTTCTCATGCTCGAAAAAAGCCTTCAATTTTACCACTGAGGATCTCCCTAATGTATTTAACTGCTGTGTGTTGGGAAAATGGGATTATTCCTTAAAAGCTAAGATCAATTAAAGCTCTGGATAAAATAAAACTCTGATGCTTTGGCGTGATCTAGATGTTATCTTTCTGTACCACATTTCCTTTAAGGACCGTGATAGAAGGAGAGGCTTAATTAGAAAAACGGTGACATGTCTCTTTTGAGGGCTCCTGGCCGTGATGAAGTTAGATCAACCAGCTGGCAGGGAAGGCTGCCCTGCAGTTCCGAGCAGAGCGCGGGCATGTGCGTCTGGCTTGGATTTTCTGGCCTCCATATATGAACCAGCCTCAGCCTGGCTCCATTTCTGTGGCCGCCTTCCTCCCACCGCCAGACTGAGCTGAGCCGCCCGCCCGAGTTCAGACCTCACTGCCAAGAAGGCTGCTGGATAAACAAGGCAGAATACAGAGATCCTGTGGCACCAACAAAAACTGGGACATACTGGACCTGACCCAGGGGCCAGCATCCAGTATTCCGAACAGAAGCGGGGACGCCAAGTGACACCCCAGAGTTGAAAAGAACTTCATGCCTACAGTCCACCCTCCTCTGGATTTCATCCCTCGAGCCCAAAAGAAACAAGCAAGGGCTGTGTTCCCAGAGGGCAGTCAGCAAACAGCGTTAGCCCCCCCTTGCTGTGGGGTGGCAGGCGGTATTCACGTATTCACGGCTCGCCCATCTCACCCAGGGTTCCCGCACTTCCCTGGCTTTGTAAGGCGGGCTGAACACAGGTGTGACCCTGCACGCCTTCCTGCCAAGCCCAAACACAGTCCCGTGGCTGGCTGGGAACAGCTGTGTGTCAGTGTAAACATCAGCTGGGCTTTACTTTTTAATTATGTAACTTTAAATTATACAGGTAGCCGATGAACATGTTCTCCTCTAAAAAAAAAAAAAAATTAAAAGAAAACATCATAGATCAGACTAAAATCTCCCTTTACTCCCATCTACCACCCAAAAGTCCTTTGCCTTCCCCTGAGGAAACCACTGCTAGGTGGGCATCCTTCCAGACTTTCTTAATTTATACCCTTATACACACATATAAACACAGCAGAGAAATTATCCAATTTTTTTTGTGAGGGTATATCAATTCTTATGCACGTGGCACCATGCTGTTTATACCACTTTGCATCTTCCAATCAACTATATATCTTAGGAGTTTATCCATGTTGTTATATATGCATCGAGCTCACAGAATAGTAGGAAAATACCCCCAGCAATAGACCTTTATGTTGTTTCCAACACTTTGCTAATACAAACAGTCTCTCAGAAGCATTTCTGCATGAAGTTCTCATGCACACTATTTCTCTAGGGAGCTGCCTACAAGGCAAATTGCTGGGCCATAGGCTTTTGCTTTTTTTGTCTCAATAGATAGTGCCAAATTGTCTTCCAAAGAAGCTGTGCCAATGTACATTCCCACCTCAAAATAGCAATGTATGAAGATATTTATTTCCCTATGTTGATGCCAAAATGTATAATCAAACATCTTAATTTCCTTCTCTGTTTGATGAGTCTTTTTCCTACTTACCAGTGAGGTTAAATACTCATTTATTGGTCATCTACATTTTCTCTTTTGTAATTGCCTATTCAAATCCTTTATGCTGATTCTTCTACTGGACTGTCTTTCAATGATTTGGTGGAGTTCCTTGTACATTCAGAATTTCTTAATTCTTACACAGAGTGGGTAAGAGGTTTTAAGTAATATATTTATACCATGACAAGTCCTTCGCCGATGACATAAAGGGGCCTGGAATAATGGTTCCCAAAATGATTCTCATGCCTCCTAAAGTATGAAAACCACTGTAGTAGCTGTAGATGAACTGCCTGCAATGGTGAGGAGAAAGTTGACACTCTAAGGAACCACCCTCCAAGTCTGCCCATAAACCATGGTTTCCACAAACTCAAAAGGACACAGGGAGAGATTTTCACTTTGGGCCAAGACAGAATAACTGTGCCAGACTAGTTCTTTTACCATAAACAATTATTAAAATGGGTCGAATATATGAGGCAACTATTTTCAAGCAATAGACAAGAGACAGCACAAGACTGCAACGCCTAAGAAAAGAGAGGCTCATGAGGTAAGCCTGGTGATCCCCCCAACTCGGTCTGCTCATTACCATTTCCTGACCATGAGGCAAGGAGCTGGAGCTCCAGCAGAGCACAGTGGACCCACTGAGCTGGGGAGGCAGAGACCAGAGTCAGGGGCTACTGAAGTAGCTGGAATCGGCACCGCTGGGCACCAGAAGAGGGCGCTGCACTGGAAGTGGGGCAAGGTACATACTTGGGATTCCCGGTGAGTCCATAACCATGGGCTGGGCTCTGTATGTTCAAGGCAAGACTATACAAATCTTGCTGAGCAGTGCTGGGAGTTGCTGAACTTCCAGCCCGGCCAGGGTGGAGAGATCTCTATAACACTACAGGCACCCAGCTAAGACGCCAGAAACACCACAGCTTAGGAGTAAAAACCATGCCCTTGAGTAAGGCCTATTCTATTCCCACCAAAACAAAGCCTAACACCAAACTTCAACAGGATTGGCAGAGGATAAAGAGCTTAGAGGTTAAGTGCAACTAAGTTAAAGGAATTTGGGAAACATCTTAGGCTTTCCACAGACCTGTCCTAACAAAGTATAAAACAGAGCCTACACCCATTCAAGGTGATCAGTCAGTAATTTAGCTACCTACAAGGAAAAAAAAAATCAATACTCTTCACAGAAAGAACAGAATCTTGAGTTTTTACCATGTATCATCCACAATGTCCAGTACACAATAAAAAACTAGTAGATATGCAAAGAAACAGGAAAATGTGACCCATGGTTAAGAAAAAGCAGTCAATAGAAACTGGCCAAGAAGAACCTAATGTTGGAAATAGCAGATAACCACTTTAAAGCAGCTCTTATAAATATGTTCGAGGACTTAAAAAAAATATACATATGTGTGTGTGTGTATATACATATACATATATATATACACATATATATATACATATATATATATATATATGACTGAATAGTCATAAAAAACAAGGAAATCACCAGAACCAAACCAGAATACGACACTGGAAATTATCAGACAAGAAATTTTAAATAACTACAATTAACATGTTAAACGAGTTAAAGGCAAGACAACATGCAAGACTAGAAAGTTATTATGTTAGAGACATGGAAATTATAATAATCAAATGGAAAAGCTAGAAATTAAAAAACAGCAAGAGAGATGCAGAATGCTTCCAGTGGGCTCATTGGTATACTCGTTACAATAAGGAAAGAACTGGAAGACACATCAATAATCACCCAAAGTGACCCAAAAGAAATAAGAGTTAAGAAACAAAAATAGAATAGAGCATCCAAGAAGAGTTATGGGACACTATTAACTATTAATGGTTTAACACAAACATGATCAGAATCTCAGACGAAGAGAGACAGGGCAAAAGAAATATTCGAAGAAATAATGGCCAAGAATTTTTCAAAATTCTTGACAGACGCCAAACCCAATCCAAATGCAAAGAAACTCAGGGAACATCAAGTGGATAAATACCAGAAAAGTACCTAGAGTCCTATTCAAACTGCTGAAAACAAAAGACAAAGAGACAATCTTAAAGGCAGTCGAAATAAAAAAGAAACATTTGTGGAGAGGAACAAAGGTAAGAATTATACTAAACTTCTCATCAGAAACCATGGAAGCAAAAAGACAACATTTAAACAGTGACATCTTTAAAGTGATGAAAGAAAAAGCCATCAACTCAGACTTTTATACTCATTAAAAATACCATTCAAAAATGAAGCAGAAATAAAGCCTTTTTCAGCTAAAACAAAAAAATGAAGGGATTTATTAGCAGCAGATCTAATCTATAAGAAATGCAAAGGAAGTTCTTCCAGTAGAAAGAATGTGATATCAGATTGCAACCTGGATATACAGGAAAAAATGAAAACAGCTGGAAATAGAATAAAACGAATATAAAATAAAATTCATTTTTTCTTATTTTTATTGCTCTAAAAGATAGCTGTCTGAAGCACAAACTAGTAGCAATGTATTTTGTGTTTATAGCATATATAAAAGTACACTATATGACAACGAAGAATGGGAGACTGGAATTGGTGATAGACTATTATAAGACCCTCACGTTACACATGAAGTGGTTTACTATTTGAAAATAGACTCAGCTGTTCTCTGAGAATACTTGTTAAAAAAATTTTTTTTAACTTGCATGTGCCCCCCACCAAAAAAAAGAAAAAAAAATTTTAATTTAAAAAAATGAATATAGACTCAGATTATTTTAAAAATGTACATTGTAAACATGAGAGCAACCATTCAAATTTTTTAAAAAGAGGTATAAACAATAGGAAAATAAATAAACTTTGTAAATGTTCAATTAACTCCAGTCTTTTCACGAGAAAGACGAGATGAATTCCAATAGTGGAGCACTCTACAAAATACCTGACCAGCGCTCCTTGAAACTGTCAAGATCATCAAAAACAAGGAAAATCTAAAAAACTAGCACAGCCAAGAGGAGCCTAAGGAGACAGGATGACTAAATGTGACACAGTATCTTGACTGAGATCCTGGAACAGAAACGAGGGCATTGGTAAAAAACTAAGGCAATGTGAATAAACTGCGGACTTCAGTTAATAATCTACATCATTATTGATTCATTAATAATAACAAATATACCATAGATGTTAATAATAGCAGAAATTAAGTTTGGGCTATATGGGAACTCTCTGTACTATCTTCTCAATTTTTCCCTAAATCTAAAACTGTTCTAAAAAATACAGTCTACTTGAAAATGCTCAATTAAATTCTGAGGGCGGAAAAAGAGGAATAAACAAACACAAATGGAAGAAATGAAAACAATTAGCAAGATGGTAGATTGAAGTCCAATCATATCAACAATCACTTTAAATGTAAATAATGTAAGACCACAGTTAAAAGTCAGAGCATGACCCAACAATATGCTTTCAACAACAAAGTCACTTTAAATATAAAGAAATAGGTACTTTAAAAGTAAAAAGCTCAAGAAAGATATACCATACACACATGAACAAAAAGGAAGCGGGGGTAGTTGTATTAATTTCAGACAACGCAGACTTCAAACAATGAATGTCCTCAGTGGTAAAGACGGGTATTACATAACGACAAAGGAGGAAAGTCTCCCTTGTTTAACGTGCTGCATATAACTAACTAATTTGGTCAGTTCGTTACAGAAGTTGGAGTCGTACCTTTACATAAAAATGTAAAGTAGCTAAATGATGTATATATGACTTTTAAAAGTGGTTTGCTTCATTATTCTATAGTTGTGAGGAAAAGTCCATCTTCCAAATTTACGAGAGATGAAAAAATGACTAAGAAGGTGAATTCAAAGTGTCTTAACAGGTTCTGCACCGTATCTACATTAGGCAAAGAAGGAAAGGGGTTGCTCTGAGGTTCCAGAACTTCAGTAACTTGCCTACTTCCCACTCATCCAGCTACATCAGTAGTTTCCAAATTGTGCTCCCCAGAAGCACTTGAGGGTAACTGTGGTGGTGGGTAGTGGGGCAGGGGACAGAGGACCAGATCCATCTGGGACCACAGTGGGCAGGTGGCTCCAGGCTTTTTATGTGTTGGAGTCTGTAAAAGATTTCATTTGGGAAAAGGGTGCTGATGGTTAAAAATAAGTCACTACCTTAACCAAAATGCCTCTTTATGCATATTTAGAGAAATTTTAATTTTTTAAGCACAATCATCATCTAAAACACAGGTTTTTAAAACTTCAGCAGTAAAGAAAGAAATACGTAGTTAGTTTCTTTCATGTTATCTAATATATTAATAGTTAACTAGCAGAGGAAAAGGAAGTGAAACCCAGGTCTCCTGCTTTCTGGTGCAATTGTCCATCCAGGCTGCCCACGTGGACCCACCAGTGTGCCGCATGGACACGCCACACAAACGCATTCACTGTATATGGGCTCCAGTCAGGACTAGGGTGGCTCACGTTCAACACTAATTAGAAATCTTCTTTTTGATTTAATGTCGCAAGATATAGAGATATAATTATACTCACAAGAAGACCTGAAACATCAGAATACTTCTTGGCTGGTTTAAAGGATGGAGGAGCATCAATACTAAAGTCTGGGAAAAAAAGAAAAAGAAAAATGTAACTAAACTGGCCTTAAAACCATTCAAGTCCTTTCTCTTTTTCCCTAAAATCATGTTTGATAATATTTCTGAAATTTTCCTTTGACATTAAGTACTCACAGACTTCTCTGGGGATTAACCAGAGACGCAGGGGAGGAGTCTTAGAAATAATGCAGTAGTATGTCATAGACCAAGTGCAGGCTCCAGATCTAGCCCTGCCCTGTCACCAGGGACCCCATTTTCTAGCAGAGCCACCGGAAAGCTCATCTGCCCACAAGCTATTTTCACAGTCTCATGCTAGATGGGCTGATGGTGATGAAACCAATTAGATCTGCGCATCCAGACACTGCCATGTCCACACCCAGACGAATGACTAGCTCTCTTGTCACCCAGCTGAGTCACCCCCAACTGAGTCACCCCCATAAAAGTACAGTGGGACAAGGGACTGAGGGAACTTTGAACCTGTACTTGCCGACGAAGTTGAATAGAACATACAGCAGTGTTTTATATAAATTTGAACATACCACAGCATAAAGCATTTACTTTGCAAAACACTGGCTCAGAGAATAAAAGAGTTGGCCTTGAAGCTTGCTCTTAGGAACCTTCCTAAATCTGGCATTATACTTGGGCTACCTTGTTCTTGGAAACAAATTTTAAAAGTAGATTTTCAAATCAGACGTTTGTCTAATAGAAACACTAATATTATCCTATCAGGAGCTATTTCCCCAGTCTGAAATGTTAACAATGACACTTAAAACCACACATCCAAGATATCAGAAACCAACAGGTTCAATACAGATACAGTTATGAGAAAACAGACACACAATATCCCCAGATTGTTGCCACTATAAAATGCTCAAGCTAAACATTGTTTCCTATAATAACGCAAACACAATAAAATAATGTAGGTTTGTTGTAAGAAAGTTCCTAGTCTGAATACTGTAAACACATGGAAGGCTCTAGACAGCTCACAGTTAGGATCGTTCAGTTGCCACGGCAACGCCCTTTCGGAAGCGAGAATTTGTTTCAGGTTCTTCCAGGTTCTGTTCTTCTTGCCAGCTACCGCACCACCGTGGCCAGAGTGCTGGAATTAAAACATGGATTAGAAGAAACAAAAATCAATGGAGCCTGCCATTTGAGAATCTGACATTTACGCTTAATCACAAGTGTAAGGTACCTCTCACTCTGTCAGCAATCATTTGTACCCCTGAGACATTTTTAAAAAGTATTTCACTGTACATGATAATCCTAGTTAAAAAAAAAAAAACCCCGAAGTTTTGGGACTATCAAAACCCTGGAGTGAGTTAGTGTTGGAGTAGAAATAAAAAGCTACTTTTTTACACATACATAAAAAACCAAATCCTTTATTGGGTCTAACTTTGTAGAATTCATTCACGAATTTCTCACCACTTTAAAATAAGCAAATTTACTACACAGTCAGATTTAAACTCATGACTGCATCCCTAAACCCCCTTCTGAGGGTAAGTTTCTGCCTTGCAAATTACTGATGATCTGGGGAAAGCTGGGTCAGCCCCAGTCATGGCATGGCGAGCCTTCGGAAAACCTTTTTTTTTTTCTTTTTTTTTCCCTACAAAGATGACAAAAGAAAATGGGAAAGAATACCCAAATGTGTTACAGACACTCTAATGTTGTATTCCCAAAACTGATTCATAAAAAATATACTTTTGATGGTATAATCTGAATTGCTATACTTTGTCATATCCCTCAAGATGTAATGAGGTATACAATGAAAGGAAGAGGATACTATTTCCACTTCACAGCACAGCAGCTTAGATTTACTCAACCAGTGAGGAAGCGCTCTTCTTTTAGTTAAACATGTCAAGCCTCATCTGAAACTTATGCAAGACCAGAGAAAAGGCAAAGGGAACAATAGTCATGGAAATGACCCCACCCACAAGACAGTATCCTTTAGTGAATTCCACAAAGGACACCAAATCCTTGAGGACTGGCACATGGTGAGATCAGCAGAAAAGACCCTTCTCCAACCCCATCCCTCCCACGACAGCCCATGGGGACAAGGTGGTAACTTGGACCAAGGGGGAAGACGCCACTGCCACCTTGGCCACAGGCCCAGCAAGATCACAGGCCAAGGTGTGGTTGTTTGGCTTTGTATTTATCTAATATCTTAGATGCTTACCACAAAGTTGGGATCCTTAAATGGCAAAGGTTTGGCAGCTTTTTCCACAGGTCCGGTGCTAAACTCAGAGGGCATCATTTTATTCTCACTCATGGCATCTATGCCGATACCCTTAAAACGTTATAAAAACAGTCTGAAGTTAGTTTCTTCTAGCTGAGTTCCTCTCCTCTGCTCTCCACAGACATAAGAGGATATTTGCTATTGTAAATAAATAAATTTATGAAAGAATGAATGAATATGGCTAGTAATAGATTATAACCCATAGACTAAAATAAGAACCCATGATATGAATACTGATTTTTAAAAATAAATAAATGTCCTGTAGTCCCAGCTACTTGGGAGGCTGAGGTGGGAGGACTGCATAAGCCCAGGAGTTCAAGGCTACAATGCACTATGATGGCATCTGTGAATAGCTACTGTACTCCAGCCTGGGCAACAGAGTGAGACCCCATCTCTGAAAAAAAATAAAAAGAGAAAAAATTTTTTAAAATGAATAAATGAATGGGAAAGAAACGAAAGTTCCTCCTCACAGTAGGATTCTAATTAATAAATGTAGAAGGAATGAAGATTTGAATTAGAAAAATCACCCGTTGGCAACCACCACAATAATAACTATTTCAGACAAAAGCCATCAATGCACATTAAAAGTGGTTGGCAAGAGTATAAAGACAAATGGTATATTTACATAGTCTCAAAGTATCTCCCCGCAAGACACTTCAATACAAACAGAGAAAGAATAACTTTACCATGGAGAAACCTGGCAGACACCACCTTACGAAGTGCCCAAAGCTAACGCCATCAGTAACAGGCCACACTGCCATCATGTGCCACAATGGGACGCCTTGAGGAGAAGACAGCATCACTTCCCAATCTTGCCAAAAATGTATAACCCAAATCTTGAGGAAATGTCAGAGGGGCTCAAACTGAGGAACATTCTATAAAATTAAGTGGCCAGTACTCTTCAACAGTATCAAGGTCATGAAGGATAAAGATGGAAGAACTGTGCCAAATTACAGGAGACTAAAACGATGTGACAACTAAGTACAACGTGTGATCCTGGGTTGGGTCCTGGACCAGACAAGGTCTGTATATGAAGTGTCAGTATTGCATCAAAGTTCATT